GCCTTGATGCCATTTGTTCTAATGGCTTATTATTATTATTATTATTATTATTATTATTATTATTGTCTTCACTTTTCCATACTAAGCCAATATTCTGTTCAGGTATGCCTCAATATGAGTTGGATACATGAATAAGGAAAGTACAGTAAGCTGGATTCATCTTGTGGTGTATCAAAATAATAATAATAACAACAACACTTTATTTATATTCTGCCCTTCTCACCTCGAAGGGGACTCAAGGCGGATCACAGTACATATACATGGCAAATATTCAATGCCGCTTTGTATACACAATACACAAACAGACAGAACAGGAGGTGGTTTGTTTCAGCTTTTTTTTTTTTTTTTGGTGCCATGGAAGGTTGGGCTCGAGTCCAGGGGGTGCTGTTGCTCTATCCTCTATGACGAAGAGCTGTCAGGACCTCCTCCTTCCTTTTGATCGCCCAGCATTTTCTGATTTTCTTCCTCTGTGGTGTTGTAAAACACCTCCCGTGCTTTTAGTAGTACCTAATTTCTCTAATCACAGCTAAAGCTGTTTTCGAATTGCTTAGGTAAACAATGAGCTAGGCTGACAGTTGGCAGCTCACGCCAACCTGGGGTTTCGAACTTGCAACGTTTTTGGTTGATACATCTTATAATTGCTGATGATTTACCAGCTGTGCTAAACCTCCCATGAGGTTTTCGAACTGCTAGGTTGGCAGAAGCTGCGGCTAACAATGGGAGCTCATGCCGCACCCTAAATTCAAACCTGCGACCTTTCGATCAGCAAGGTCAGCAGCTCAGCAGTTTAACCCACTGCACCACCAAGGGCTCCTTTAAAGTTCATATTAAACCATAGAATAGTTTCCATCACTTCGCTGTACCATACCAAGAGCCCCAAAAATCCTAGAGCTAGCACTGATCCATCCACTTCTTCTAAAAGATCTATATATCATTTGAAGTCACCCCATATCAAAATCTGTCCCCAAAACTCCAAATTCTACTTACTACTGCCACCCTCATATTGATGAGCTGAACTAGAAAAAAAATAACAAAAACCCACGCAAAAAATTGAAAACTGACTTAATTTCTCTTAATTGAAGAATTCTGGTTGCATCATTTGACATTTGGCTAGAGTTCACATTTTTTTATCTGCTTGCTTTCAAAGCATACACAATACCCTCAGGTATCTTAGCTACGCATGCCACCATCTTCATAACCTGCCTTTCTCACGCTTGTATGAAACTCCTTTGCTGCTATTTTTTCAGCTTTTAGAGAACTTGCAGTTCTAAGGAAACAGACTTTCCGTACACTTAATTTGAATGTGTCAGGTGCCCCCTCTTCCCGCCCTACACTTTTATTTTTTATATTTTTTCATAAAGTTGAAAACTCCATCTGTTTCAAAGCTAGCCATTCTGCAAGAGCGAAGATGACCTTGGCGGCACAGAGAGAAGGGGAGGGAGAGTGGATATGTGTAGGTGTGTATTATGCATGAAACAATTTTTTGCATTAGTTTGCATTAACTACATTCATTTTAGAAAGCAGCAAGATTCTAGGGAGATGAGTCATAGTATAGCAAGTGTGTGTGTGTGTGTGTGTGTGTGTGTGTGCATGTCTAACGAATATATTTCCCCCCATTCTTTATCAAACCACACAGCTATGAATTGGAATGATGGGAATGTAAAGGTCTAGTTTCCTCCAAAAAACTGTCAATTTAAGTAACAGTGAGTTCAAAACAAGATGTAACATTTAATTGATTAATTGGTTGTCTTAATTACAATACTTTCTAACATATTAAGATGCTTCCCTGGTTAATTAATCTCTATCTCCCTCTGTGGGTAATAAAACATTTTATGCAAATGCTTATAAAATTGCTAATAGCAAAATCAATGTTGGGTGCTTGGTATCTGCTGGAGTTTGGTTCCAGGATCTCCCAAGGATACCAAAATCTATGATGCTGAAATAATATTAGGAATCCCAGTGATTCCTAATGCCACGACCCCTTAATATAGTTTCTTATGTTGTGGTGACCCCCAACCATAAAATTGTTTTTGTTGCTACTTCCGTAACTATAATTTTGCTACTGTTATGAACCGTAATGTAAATATCAGATATGCAGGATTTATTTTCATTCACTGGACCAAATTTGGCAGAAATTTGAATACTGGTGTGGTTGGGGGTGGATTTGTCATTTGGCAGTTGTAGTTGCTGGGATTTATAATTCACTTATAATCATTCTGAACTCCACCAACACATTGAACCAAACTTGGTATACATAACTCGCATGACCAACAGAAAATACTGGAAGAGTTTGGTGTTCATTGACCTTGAGTTTGGGAGTTGTAATTTCCCTACATCCAAAGAGCACTGTGGACTCAAACAATGAGAGATCTGGACCAAACTTGGCACAAATACTCAATATGCCCAAATGTGAACACTGGTGGAGTTTGGGGAAAGTAGACTTGACATTTGAGAGTTGCAGCTGCTGGGATTTATAGTTCACCTACTATCTTTATTTTCCCCTATAATTTGCAATCCTATTTTATTACCTGAAATGTACAATGTTTTTTAATTGTTTTATTATATATACATAGAAACATACAATCTTCAAAATTCAGCAGTCAAAATACAAGTATTTTTCCCCAATCCCACTACCACCACATCCCCATCCCCATTTGGCCCGTCTTATAATAACTTTTTCTTTCACTAATATAATCTTGAAGTAGGTAATCGGCTAGATATTTATACTAAGTTTTTATTGGGTTGTTGTAGGTTTTTCGGGCTATATGGCCATGGTCTAGAGGCATTCTTTCCTGACGTTTCGCCTGCATCTATGGCAAGCATCCTCAGAGGTAGTGAGGTCTGTTGGAACTAGGAAAAAGGGTTTATATATCTGTGGAATGACCAGGGTGAGACAAAGGACTCTTGTCTGCTGGAGCTAGGTGTGAATGTTTCAAGTGACCACCTTGATTAGCATATAATGGCCTGACAGTGCCTAGAGCAAACTTTTGTTGAGAGGTGATTAGACTACACAGAGAAGCCATTGAAATACACAAGCATGTGGACAATTTCAACAGAAAGGAGGAAACCATGAAAATGAACAAAATCTGGCTACCAGTATTAAAAAAACTCTAAAATTACAACAGCACAACAACAGAGAGGAAACAAACAAGAACATCTAATCACCTCTCAACAAAAGTTTGCTCTAGGCACTGTCAGGCCATTATATGCTAATCCTCCTTTGTCTTCCATTTTCTGAGTGAAAAATTGAGTTTTGTTCCATTCTATATTTATCCCTAATAGCTCCTCCATTTCCTACTTAATTATTGTATGGAACTTTTGCATTTTTTCACATTCCCACCACATGTGGGTGTATGTTCACCTACTATCAAAGAGCATTCTGAACCCCACCAACGATAGAATTGGGCCAAACTTCCCACTCAGAACCCCCATGATGAACAGAAAATACTGTGTTTTCTGATGGTCTTCGGTAACCCCTTTGACATTGACACCCTCTCGCGACCCTCTCAGGAGTCTTGACACCTAGATTGAGAAACGTTGGTGTATACAATGACATAGTACAATACTGTCCCTTATATAAAATGGCAAAATCAATGCCTAATTTTTGGAATTTTTGTCAGAAAATGTCTTCTCCCCCCCCCCCCCCATAATGTTTATTAAGAATTTCCAAATATCATTAAAATATTTCACACTAAGGGAATGTGGGGGTGCGGGGAAGAAAAACAAAGGGGATAAAAAATAATATTAGGATAGTAGAGTTATTATTAATTAGTTGCACCTTTACAGATGTCTGATATGTCACAAAGAAAGAATGCAAAATGTGCTGGTTGTTGGAACAGGGAGGAGTTCCTATACAAAATTTTCAATCTATGAAGGATAGACTCTGTGAATAGAGAATCCATGGATATGGAGAGCCAACTGTATCTTAAGAGAGGTATTTTCTCCTTTCTTTGCCATGCATGCAACAAAGAAAGTGCCTCTTCCAGGATATTTCAGTGAAGATTCATTTGTTCATTGTTTAATGCTTAATGTCAAACATTTAATGATCACATGCTTCTCACGTCAGAAGTACTGTTTTTATTTTATGCTAGCCG